TTTGTAAGGGAGAGCGCTCCTGTAGCTCGCGCCCTCGCTTTGTGCCCTGCTGGAGCATGGAGATCATCTTCCCCCTCTCTGCAGACCCCCTGACCTTCTCTCTGTTCCACTTACACACACACACCCACCCAAATTACCCTTACTCCTCACAGATTAAGATCAATGTCATTCAGCGCGTTTAGAGTATCAGCCTTTGATTCGCACCGGAGAAAGGAGGAGGAGGAGGAGGAGGAGGAGGAGGAGGAGGAGGAGGGCGCACGGGCACCTGGAGCTGTGAGGGGGTGAAAAAAAACGAGGGCGAGGGTGTTCGACGTGGATGAAAGTGACTTCTTTACTTTCCTTCCTGAGTTTACGTGAAGGATGTTTGAAGACACAGAGAAAACAGATGATTTCATATTTCAGGGTTTCTTTAACAACAACGATCATCAGGTCAGTCCTCAACGACAGGAGGAGGACGCCAAACACTGACACCATCACTGAGAGCGCCGTAACCAAAAAACTGAGACAAAGGTCATGAAGAGGCCAAAGATCTGAGCTCTACAGGATGTGAAACGTCTCCTGAGATCAGGTATAAACCTCTACGCTGATGACGCCTTATTCACACATGCACCAAGTTCACGGTGAGTCCATTTTTTCTGCTCTACGCCTCCAACGAGCATCAATCCACACAGAGAAGATCGTTCCAGACAGGAAGTCAAGCACAAAAACCACGCATGTCATCCGGTATTTCAAAATAAAACACCACATGTGAACTCCTGACTGTGTATCAGTTGGTGTAGATGAGAAATCCCTCCTGGTTCTGGATTTATCAGTAACACAGAACAATCCGATGGTCGATCCCTGATCCATGTGGACCCCAACAGGACTTTGACCTGCTAACTCTGTCTGAAGGGAACAGCAGAAAGATCAGAGTTTACTTTATTTAACATGAATAAACCTGAAAAACACAAACTGGAAAATCACTTCAAGCTTTTTCACAGACAGTCGAGGATCAACAGTCACTGAATTATATCAGAATTATCAGGAAATCGACCACAGAGAGGAAAAACAACCTGCTGTGAGGATGTTGTCTCCTCAATACTGAGACCAGCTGATCGGGGCTGAACTACGCTGCTGCTGCTGCTGCGCTGATCCTGTATGAGATACCCAACGCTGCTCTACGGAGCAAATACAGGATGTTTTCGGCTCATACATACCCTGACAAGTATGTATGAGTAGGATGAGCATGTTTTCTTTCTCTGATATGAATCTATGAAGATTTTACTGGATTTGTATCTCAAGACTCAAATTTGTCACCAATATAAGAACCAGAGTGGCACACCTGGATAGACTGGTTTTGAAGAAGGTCACCAGTAGAGAGCGGTACCCGGGTCTCTGGAGAGCAGAGATCCTAATCATAGTTTTGGAAAATCTCTGACTGAAGTCTCTGACTGAAGTCTCTGACTCTGTCTCTGCCAACAAACACGTGTCCAAATGTAGAGGAGTAAAATTAGAGGATCAGCTGATCTAATCATAGAAAGACATCTAACAGATCCCAGCATCTATGTGATGTTATCTACAGCCAACTTAGCTCAGACCCCCCCTCATCTTCACGCTGTGAGGGGACGTGTGTGAACGGTCATCTCAGGTCAGTTTCAGACTTCGGGGAGGGTCTCTGACATTTTCTAGAAGCTTCCTGGTCTAAAATCAGCTGCTGACAGTTTCTTATAGACCAACATGATCAAAGTTGGAGACCTGGACCGTCTCTGCTGGTCTGAGGAGGACTCATGCTGTCCCCTCTCTAAGACCTCCTTGGGTTCCTTTCACGTCTCTCTGCTCCTCCACAGGAATCCTCTGTGTCTCCCCGTGACCTTTGACCCCGCCTGTAGGTAAGCTTAGCTTTTGGACAGCACTGACTCTTTTACATGGAGGGTTTTTCTCTCTCTCTCTCTCTGACCCCCCCCCTCTCTGGTCACCTACCTCCCCCAACACCCCCCCCAGCCTTGGAGTCACCAGGGTATGTGACGGTCTAAATGCCCCCTATTGTTGGCAGAGTGGACCTTTTGTCCGCCCCCCCTGTATGTGCTGACTAAGGGACAACCAGTGAGCCCACTCTGGAGCCCGAACAGGGCTGTGGGAGGGGGTGGATGCATGTATAGGGTCAGCTAAGCCTTGCAGTGACACCCCCCCCCCCCCCTCCCCTCCCTCCTCTCCCAGGGTGTTTGAGGAATTTCCTGATTCAATAACTTTTTAAATGGCCGGCCCCCCTCACCCTTTATTTACTCCCCTCAGAGTCCACTCTCACACCTCAGACCCGCCGAAGAGGCCGGAGCGTCACCAGGTACATCCAACACAGATTCACACTTTATACCCCTGATTCATACCCTGATTCATACCCCTGACAGATATAAAGTATTTCTTAATGTTTTCAGTTACACGTCAGTATTTCACCTCAGATTTGACATAAATAGGACATGTGGACAAGTCGGGGACAGTGACCAAACATGTTTTATGAAGTAAAACTGTTAAAGGTTTTAAATCAAACTTTGATGAAAAGTCACCATGTCCAGATTTATTCAAACCCAGTGATACTGAGACAGATAAGCACAGATGTTTTAGTCGTTCTCTCCACATGATGAAGTGTTTAATGTTGTTTTCAGTGTTTCAGAGTTTTTTTTTTTACTAGTTTTCTGACTCTAAAAGTCGACTTGCTCGTGACATTTCAGTCATTTTCAAGTCAACGCCTCGCCATGGCAAAGACCAAAGAGCTCAGTGAGGACTCACAAGCACACAGTGTAAGTGTTACAAAGGAAGGAAAAGAGGACAAAAAAAACTGCCAAACAATTTCAGGTGCCAGTGGCAACAGTGCAGAGTATCATCAAGAAGTACCGAAAATTTTCACACAGTCAAAAACCTCAAAGGTCGTGGTCAGAAGTCATTAGTGTCACCTCGGTTTACCAGAAAGATCGAGCGAGCTGTTGAAAACAATCCAAGGACGACGACTGAGGCTGTCCTGAAGGAACTGAGCGCAGTGATGTGACTCTATCGAGGAAGACACTCCAGAGGACACTGGACCAAGATGGTCTTTATGGACGTCGACCAAGAAAGACCCTCTGCTTCAACCAAAGCATGGAAAAGATGTACCTAGAGAAAGACGAAAGCTCCTGGTCATCTATTCTGTGACCGGATGAAACCAAAATGGAGCTGTTTTGGGCACATAGATGTGGTGAAAGAAAGGCGAAACCTTCAAGACAAAGAACACAGATCTTTCTGCGAAATATGGACTTTGACCTGCTAACTATATATCCAAACAGGCCTGTTAACTTAGTTAACGTGGAAGGCACCAAGAAGAAAGAGCAGTATGTCAAGATCCTCAAAGAGAACCTGAACCTGGGGGAGAATTGGACCTATCAGCAGGACAATGATCCGAATCATACAGCCGAGGTGGAGAAGAAATGGTTTCAGGACTGTGATGTTAACAATATAAAGTGGCCAAGTCAGAGTCCTGATTTAAACCCCATCGAGGATCTACGGGTGGAGCTCAAGAAACGGGTGACAGAGCGAAACCCTCCAACTTCAAGGATCCAGAATTCCTGCAGATACTCGCAAGAAGCTTGTGAGAAATTACAAGAATCATTTAGAAGCTGTGATAAAAAATAGGAGGTTTGCAATTGATTATTGAGACAGTGTGTTTTTTTGTTTTCCTTTACACTTTATATCTTTGATAAATCGGTTATGGCTTCAGACTTTCTTTTGTGTTTCCTATTTATATCCAGTCTGAGGTGAAATACTTTAGTGTAACTGAAAAAATTAAGACATTTCTTGTATTTGACAGGGGTATTAATGATTTTGGGTTTAAGTGAATCTGAATTTCCTGAGTGTGTCCGTCTGAAACAGCTGAGAGTCTTTTTTAATTTTCCCATGAAGGTTTCCTGAAACACTCAGAGACAACGAGACAGACAGAGAGCAGATAGATGTGAGCGTCTGGGATCTCTGACTTTATTAGTGTAATGAGTCTCTGCACACACAGCAGTTTGTGGACCAATAATTAATCTCTCTAACATTCCTCTTCCTTTTAATAGACTTCCATTAACATGCTTTTAAAAATGCTGCTTTTAAAGCCGGGCTAATTCCCTGACTCACAGACGAGAGCACACATTAGTGCTGCTGAATAGTCTTTACTGGCCATCCCTTTAAACACGTCCCTTTAAAATCTAATCCGCTAATGTATCCAAATCACACGCCTGTCCCGGCCCATATATCTTTAATTGTACGGCGCTCCGCTTTAACAAGAGTCAGATGCGTGCTGGAGGCTCGTCCACATCAAACAGCCGCCGCCGAGCGCCTCATATCCTCTGCCGTCACAATGCTGCTGCAGTTTCACCACCCATGTTCATAAAACGCCGCCCTCCTCCCCCGCCCCCGACCCCCTCCTTTCACTTTGATTGGGCTAATTGTGTTTCCTGCTGAATGCAGTAAACTTAAAGGAAGCTAAGAAGTGCATATGAACGTCGCCTGGAGCGAGCACACAAACCCAGATTCACACTGTAGGCGGCTTTTCTAACAAGAGGCCATTAGGGACAATAGGCAGGCTCATTCACTTTCTGAGGGGCCAATTTACATGGCAGTGGCAGGTACTAAAGCCTCTTCAGCCCTCTGAGCTCTGGACTCCTCTCCTGACACCTCTCAGTTGGTCGTGTGTGAGAGAAAGCTCATTATCTCTCAGCGGTTCAACACATGAGGATCCGTGTATCTCTGTAGCTGAACCAGACCTGAACCAGGGATGAAATTCATCTGGAGTCAAACACAGAGTAACACAGAGTCAGACACGCCCTCCAGAGATGAATGATGCAGATCACTTGCTTCTCTACATAGATCTCAGGCCAGTCTATTACAGACTACAGAGGGGTAGGCGAAACGTCCCAATCATAGATGCTGCATCCTCAGATTTAAAGGGATATTCCGACGTAAAATTAATTTAGGGTCAAACACACTTTAACACCAAGTTAGACCCCCCCTCGAGAGGTGAATGTTGCAGACCTCTTGCTTCTCTAGTTATACCAACTTTAGTAACGACCACAGGATAGAAATACACAGCGGTCTGAGGAGCCATAAACAAACCTCAACCAAAACGCCACTCTATAGCCACAAATAATGCTCAGAACAGCACCTAACTTCATCAACAGGACATATAGGGTCACAGACATAGTACTAGACACCAAACATCTTTTTAACTTTGACTCATTTCTTTAGCAAAGAGACTAAACACAACTCACCTACTCTCTTCCAGCAGACGCTTGTTTGTCCATTACGGACTACAGCGGGGTGCCGCAGCTCAAGGAAGAACATTTATGATCATTTCTTCATGGAAATACAATCAGACCGAGACGCTAAGACAGAAGAACTACCGCGTCTGTAAAATGATTAATATGATGATTATTACTTCAAGGACATTATAAAGAAATGATCATAAATGTTCTTCCTTGAGCTGCGGCACCCCGCTGTAGTCTGTAATGGACTGGCCTGAGGTCTCTCTACAAACAAGCGTCTGCTGGAAGAGAGTAGGTGAGTTGTGTTTAGTCTCTTTGCTAAAGAAATGAGTCAAAGTTAAAAAGATGTTTGGTGTCTAGTACTATGTCTGTGACCCTATATGTCCTGTTGATGAAGTTAGGTGCTGATCTGAGCATTATTTGTGGCTACAGAGTGGCGTTTTGGTGGAGCGTGTGGCTCTCTGGGTCCTGCAGAGGTGATCAGGTCTTCAGTTTCTGCTTGGGTGAACCTCTACAGAGTGTAAAGGAGTTTTTCTAAGCGGTGGTTCAACATCTGGTCCATCCGGATCTGATAACTCGTCAGCTTTTACCCAGAGAGCCATCATGAAACCGCAGTGTGGTCGTCTTTGTTATCACAGCCCGCCACTCTTCTTCTCTTCATCCCTCTTTTTCTCTTTGTCAATCTGGGCGAGCTCCTGTTGACCCGAGGGTCTCTGTGGTGGGAGTGGGCAACGCCGGACCACTTCAGAGCCGTCCCCAAAAACCGCACCAAACCTCCCGTGCAATCAAGGGTTAGTACTTCTCTTTCTCTGCTCTCCAGGTCTCCCTTTATCCGAAACCTCATCCCTCTCCGTGTGCTGACCCGGTCCGTGTGTGCCGGTTCAGACAGACAGTGTGTGAGTGAATAGGGGGAAGTCATATGTTAGCAGTTTGAACCTACAGCCCCAATTAGAGGCAGCTGTTGCTGCGCTATCGCACCACAGCGGAGAGGAGGGGGGCTGAATTTATGGTCTGCGTCTCCGTGGCGACCCCTGTTTGATGTGCAGATAATTAGGAAGTGAATGGCTTCCTGTGGGCTGCTGCTGGAAGGGGTCGGTCCGTACAATAATAAAAAACAGAACGAAGAGAGAGAGCGGGGCGAGGAACAGCTGAGAGGAGAGGACTGAAGTGGGAGCAGGGTCAGGTGGTGGGCCAACAGAGACCGGGGGTCCCCTCATCTTTATAGGTACTGCTACTGTGCACCCACTCCCCCCTGCCCCTCGTGTAAACGTGCATGCTTCAGTGTGGGGTGCACCTCCTCACACACGACTTTGCATGCTGACACACTTGACCCTTGGTTTTGTGCAGACCTGAATCCAGAGACCAACCCCCAAATCTCCACCTTCATCCTGATCGTCTCCTAAAAGGTCGTATCCTCCGATCGTAGCTGATCGTAACCATTCAAGTTAACGTGTCGATTTACACCGACTTCTTTCCGTTCCTCTGCGGATCGCCGGACTCCTCAGCTGATCACAAGAGTTCTATTTTTTCTGGACGCCGGAGCATGGCGGATAAATTCAGCACAGATTAACCCGTGCTGGAAAGGAAGTCGGGCACAGACACAAAATAAAACATCCGGAGACGAACAAGTGAAAGGTTTTTAGACGTCATTTCACCCCGATGACACCATGGATGAGGAGATGCTGATTCTAGAAGTCTAGAAGTAGATTTCCTCCTCTGGAAGGACACAATCTACTGCTTATATGTCTATGTGTCTGTCTTTACAGAGACAACTCGTTATCGCGCGATTGAACGTGAATCCGCAGGTTCTTGTGAGTTCTCCGCCTCACAAACAGATCAAGCAGGAATTAGCGGATGGCGAAATTCACTGGATCAGACCCATTTGGGATGCAGTGAAAATTGGGGGTAAATCAGTCAACGCGGCTCTACACTGAGCTCTTCGCTCCTCTCCTCGCCTCCTCACATACCATCCTTTGACTCACACGGGAACACGCCTGTGCAGGTTAGCTGCTCAGGACTTGGCGAGGTGTTTTAACAGAACCAGAGGAGATCAGAGAGTCAGACATATGTGTCTATAGATTAAGAGAAAACCCCCGCTCCTGTGTGTCTGAACACGTCAACTCAAACATCTTGTATAATCATCTGTCGAGTCTTCAGGGGCGAGGTTTTCTGCGGACTCGTCCTTTAAAGTCTTTCACAATAAACTGGAATAGCATCGGCTCATCCATAGCAACCCTTCGCCTTTCCTTTTGCCGCTTCACCACCTTGCACGTTATTTCAACTTTGACCTCTTCGGCCAGAAGTCACGACCCTCACTCATTGTCTGAAGAGGATCCAAATCCAGGAGTCGGGTCCAAAAGAGACCCTCTTGAATAAAAATAAATAGTAATTGATTCCTGGGATTCCTCAGAGTCAAGTCTTAAAGCAGTCAATAAAAGTTTCTAACAGACTCAGCTGCTCACTGTATGAGCAACAATGGGCCCAGATTGGGACGCTCCGACGCTTTTGTTTCTCTCCAGCTTTTCCGCTGAATGACACACAATAGGAAGGAATGCATCGGCTTCTGCTCGAGTGCTAAACCCAATCAGGGTGATAACAATGAGCTTTAAAGGACTCAGGGAGTCTTAAACTATCCTCAGCTCAGCATCAGATTAGCATGTTACTATCTAACCCCCTGTGGGCCGGGCCGGGCCGCCATTCATGAGCAGTACGAGGCTAACACTAAACAACAACAACAACAACACTGACAACACTGACTCACAAACCCATCAGCACAGAGATATATTCATGATGTTTCAGTCAGCAGAGAACAAACCCATGAATAAATCAGGCGGCTGCATTGAGACGTCTCTGTCAGCAAACAGGAAGTTACTCAGCGCTGAGGGGGGGGGGCAGAAAATGAGGATCGGGGTCTGAATATAAAAACACTTTGGATCTTTGTCAACAAAGAAAAAATGATTTAATTCTTCGTCTTTATGAAGAGTTTTAAAAATCTGTTTTTAAAATGAGTTTTTAAGTTTGCTGTTAAATCGATCATGACCCACAGAAACAGAAATGACCGTCAGAAGAACGTTTTTAGATTGAGTTAATTTCATTTCTAAAGTTAATGGTGTTAAAGTTAAAGTTAAAGTGACGGTGTAGTCGTGAAGAGGTTTTTATTCATGTTCCGGGGTAAATTTTCACAATCAAACTGAAGATTTTTATTTTAAAACAGACGCTCAATGACCTCTTTTCATCGGTTTAAATCAGCCCTGTCTTCTTACTCTGAGTTAAAATGTTTCAGATGATGTGATAACAGTATTATCTGTAACAGACTGTCATTTCGATTTGATTATTAGGTTATTGTCATACATTTCACTGGGCAACTGTTATGGCTGTTTGTGGCCATCAAGAGGTTTTTTTCCTTTTTGTACAGTTTTTTTTGTGTGTTGTTGTTGTCTGTTGTCTTTGTTGTGTATGTTTGTAGACTGTTAAATGTGTTTTGTCTCTTTTTTTGGTTTCTAATGTATTTTAGGACGCCTTCGAAAACGAGACGATTCCTCTTAAGCGGTTTATCCTTCAACCTACTGAAGGTATGAAGGAAAATTTTGTAAACCTGGAGAACAAACTGAGAAAATCTGGACTTTTTACATTTCTAACAGTTCGTTCAGAGATTGGAGTGAGTTTGGGACTTTCACTCCAGTCTTGACTGAAACTCAAACCAGAGATCAGTGTCATGTCTGTATGTTTTACACTTTAGTGAAGCTCAGCTGTTTGGGTCAGATTTACATCACTGTGATTGGGACGTGGAGATGAAGTGAAGCCCTAGTGGCGTGTTGAGGTACTGCAGTCTCTGACTCTGTAAATGAAGTTTATAATCACTCAGTATTTTAATTAGATTTCAATCAACACTGACTCTTTAAAATGAGACACCAGGATGTGAATTATGTCATTAGGAGGATTGAGGTTATGCAACACACACACACACACACACACACACACACACACACACACACACACACACTCTAAGCACACATCCCATTTATCACAGTCAAAACACTCTCGGACCAAGGACCCTCACAGCTCTGTTCACAGGAATGCAGAGAAAAGGGGAACTGGTCTGATAAGAGGCTGTTTTCTTATGATGGGTGTGTGTGTGTGTGTGTGTGTGTGTGTGTGTGTGTGTGTGTGTGTGTGTGTGTGTGTGTGTGTGTGTGTGAGATATCTTGTTATGCTAACCATTTGTTTTACTGGATGAGAACATGTGATGTGTCTGGGTCTGTATCTGTATTCCCATTACGACATGCGCCGTGGTGCCATGAGAAAAGTATTCCTGCCCACCGCCGCCGCCTGAGGAACAGACCCAAGGCTGACCCGCTGAGACCGAGCCGGGCCGGGCCGGGGTGTCTCTGGGTCTCTGTCAGAGTCTCCGATTTACCGCACTGCCACTTCATGTAATTAAAAAAGAGCATCATCACCACCAAACCTCATTTTTCAGCAGCTCCTTTATTTCTCACTCCTCTCTCCATCTCTTATACGTTGAAAGGCCCCGCCCCCGCCTCCCCCCCCCCCTCGCCGCTCCTGCCTTTCTGTGCAGAGGGTCGCTGACAAAAGGAATTGTGCAAACGAGCCTTTAAAATCCCTAAATGGTTGTGGTCGGCTCACAATGGCCCAAAGAATGCGGCGCTGGACAAAGGCCGGCCCTTGCCCCGCCACTCCGCCCTGCCGTGATGGATCCGAACGGACGCATGAACGTGGGCTGGATTTGGGACTGCGGAGGCGCCACCTCGCCCCCCACTGGGCCGACCAAAAGGGACAGGCCTCTGGGATACACTGGAACCCCAGCCAAGGGCCTCAAAACAATCATGAGCTGCTAACTAGCCTCGCCATCCATAGGCCTTGATTGATATGGGAAACGCATGCTTGCTCCTCCATACAGCTCCCACCATCACTCTTTATCATCCTCAAAGCCTGAAATTATTCGGCCTTTCAGAGCCGGCGCTGCAGAGTCCATGTGGGCAGCCATTAAACGCTGATTTTCTGTATGTAACGGGTTTATATGAGGGTTTATGAAGAGCCAGTGAGCCTCAGAACCACGAAACGAATGGCAGAGAAGTCTGAAAGAGTCATCGTGAAATCAGACAATGAAGGCTGTGAGTGTTTTATTACTGAGGACGGCTAACACTGATCTGCATGGTTGGAGAATATGGAGAATGGACTCTGACATCTCTGATTAAAGCAGGAGGCGCTCAGACTGGAAAACAGATCAGAAACACTCTTTAAGGTTTCGCTGTAAACACCACAGCTTCAAGTTCCTCCTCCTCCTCCTCCGTCCACTTCTTCACTTTGTTGTTTTTCCAGAGTAAAAAGGACAAAAACAGAATCTGTTATGAGTTCCCAGTTCACCTGCTCTTCCTGTGTTTGAGCTCCTCAAAGAAACTCAGACGTGAACAAAGTGCTGAGCGCAGATCTGCGTCGAAGTGTTTGACTCCATCTCCGCAGAATAACAGCTCAAAGGAAAACAAACGCAACAAAACATGAAGACTGGACTTATGTAATCCAGGTCCAGGATGCAGCTGCAGAGCGAGGAGGAGGAGGAGGACATCCTCCAGGAGTCCGATCGGCAGCTGATTTCCTCCATCCTCCTGGAGCGGTGAGGAACGTCAGCAGAGGACTCACAAACCGAAGCTCCGGTTTCTTTAGACTTAAAGCCTTCAGGTCCGAAGATTTTCTGTTTCCTCACTTTAGACGAACAACGGTTCGACTTCTGGAGATTCAAAAAACTGCAGCAAATTTCAGGGAAGTAAAAAGGTGATAAAGGAGAAATAAAGACTGTAATTACAGATAAGGAAGCAAGGAGTGTAGAACATTTGAAAAACTCTCTCCAGGTTTACATCATCGACAACAAGGAATAAAAACGACTGTTTTCTTTCTCGACTAAAATCAAACTCCTCAAAGTCCAAACATCGGGACTCTTTCTGGTCGTCCTAGTGGTTAAAGGTTCTGGTTCTGACCCGGGTTTATGTCTCTCTCAATCAAACGTTTAGAGAAAACGGTGGTGAACAGTTTGGTGGAGAATTTGAGAGGATTACAGTTACAAAAACAGGAGAACAGATCTGATTATGAATTCTCAATTATCTATTATAGTTTTCCAGCTCTCCTGTACTCTAAAGTACTGTCATGTTTTATATGATGTTTTAATGTATTCTATTGTATTTGTTTTTAATGTACTTTAATCTTATTTCAATTTAAATCTTTTATTTTATAATGTTCTGTATTCTGTGTTTATTGTAAGGCGATCTTGAGTTCCTTGAAAGGAGACCTAACAAATAAAATGTGTTATTACTATTATTATTATTACTATTATTATTATTATTATTATTATTATTGTTATTATTATTGTTCTGAATGTCTCTAAATGTTTATAAAAATGAGGTCGTCTGAGAATCAGAGCTCTGTAGCTGCACCTCTCTCTCTCTCTCTCCCTCTCTCTCTCCCTCTCTCTCTCTCTCTCTCTCTCTCTTTCTCATAAATCCATCTCTCTCTCTTTCATTTCTCTCTCTCTCCTCGGACATGTTCAGTTTCACTTTCTCTCACACTCTCCTGGCAATAAGTCGTAAAAGTCCAAACGTCCAAACTCGTTCCTGTCGGCGTTGGCGTTTATTGGAGCCTGATGTGATAAGATACGTGAAGGACAAAAAAAGTCGGAGCTCTTTTGAAGTTCTCCGAGGACAATAGGGTTTATTGAGTTTTAGTCGTCTTCAGTAAAATAAAGTGTAGATGTGGAGCTGGGAGTTTATCGACTTAAGGGCGGGACAACCTGCTGATACGGTCATTTACCGTCATCCTGACCCGTGCAGGATCACTCACTGAAGAGGGGACGTGTACTCTCAGGATGATCAGGTGTTGAGATCTTTCACTGGGATTGTCTCAGAGATTATAATCTGAATTATGAAGAGGTCGGCTGTTACAGAGACACAAATGTCCTCTTTAAAAACAGGCTATCTTAACGGGTAAAAACACTAAAAGCAGAGATAAAAGGATCAGCAGGTAAAGGACGTCCTCAAACCTGTGTTTGTTGTGCATTAGTATGAAAATGTGGTCAAGTGTCAGTTTAAGATAAAAAGCCGACTTCAGCCTGAACCTCTCAGCGGTCTGTGTTCGTTTACATCCAGGTAGTGGAGCGTTAAAGCAGCGTGGTTTTTTACTTCCTAAAGTGACGAGTGCAGCGAACGGCGTTTGTCTGACTCAGTACGTTTCCGTGACACTCAAGTAAACCGAATTATCGCCTTATTCCGATTAGTCCATAGTCTATCTATAATTGACAACTCTAATTAAAGTCAGAGACCTCCGATTTAGACACCCAGATAAAGCGATTGGAATTCGATTTTCTCTACCATGTAACCAGCGTAGTCGGAGTATGATCGGACAATGCATGTGTGTGTACGCCACGCCCCCGTAACCCCCCAGAGTAGAGGAGTAGCGTTGGTCTCCTCTTTAGAAAAAGTAGCGCGTCCATCATGTCGGACAAAAACAACGCTGTACGATGCTCCATCTTCTTGTTTCTCCAAAATGCCCAGCAGCAGTTGTAGACACTTCTGACGTCTGACACCGACCTGCTGTTGTTGTTGACGGTTGGACGGGGTCGTACGGTCCCCAGAGTGACTATGAGGCTGCTGATTGGACGCCCTGTCCTGGTTATGACATCATGAGTGACCCTGTAATAATCTCACATGGATCCAAACGCCTCGTCCTTGTATCTGCAGATCCCTCGGGCCCGGGTCTTCCTCACAATGGTGGTATTTTCTGGTCCTGACTTCATATCCTGCCCCTGTTTTTGTCTTATTTGACCGGGGGCCCCCCCGGCCCCCTCAGGGGAACATGCACCCCAATCTATGTAAATCCCTGTCCATACGTGGGCCGCACTTAGATTACATAACTGCAGCAGCGTCCAATCAAAGAGGGTCGGGAGTTTAATCTTTAATTCAGAACAAAGACAACATTCATTCATTCATGAGAGCAGGAAGAAGAACTGATAACACGTTAATGTTTCACCAGGTTTCATGTCCTCCTCTCAACTTTCCTTTCACTTCTTATAACTCACACACACACACACACACACACCAGTGCACACCCACACACACGCCCACTCAGGACCCCTCCCTGCACTTGTTTTATTGCTGTGAGTGGGTGGTGTTACTGATACCTCTCGGATTCATACGCCTGTTTGAAGTCGGATCAGTTTTCCAGCTGCACACATGCCACTCACCCAGATCTCCACCCACAGACACAGTCATGCCACCACCCCCCTCCACCGCTCCTCCACCCCCGACTTTAACTGGAAATAGGTCCAAGAATGTGGAAGAAGACCGGACCTGAACGGATCACTACGAGGACTACCGGGACACCAAAAAGACAGAAGCAGAAACCTGCAGGCTGGTCCGAGGAAGATGAGGACTGAGAGGACCGGCAGAGATCTTTGGTCATGGTCCAGGCTCAGATTTCTGCTCCCTGGTTGAATAAATACAGAGAGAGTATCAGCTGACCGCAGCTGTCCATCTACAGAGTTTATCAGATCACCAACTAAAGAGACCAAACCCTCAGACCCAAAACCTTCAGACCCAAAAACCTTCAAACCCCTCTGAGGGGTTTCTACCATCTTTTGTCATTTCACTGACCTGGTGTACTGCTCTAACGCTCAGTAAAAACCACACTTGGGGACAGATCCCCAAAAGTGAAGCCCAAACTTCAGAGAAGATCCTAAAGCCTCTAAAGTCCTCTGAGGTACTGAAGAGAAAACTGAAAAACAACCTGAATGACGTTCTCTCAAACATGAACTCTGTGGAGAGGCTGGTGATGTTAAAAACGGGTCATGTGACCTTCTAAGGAAACATCGCTGACACAGGAGTGACCGAACCAACAGAAGACTCTCTGGACTTTAACCAGTTAGGCGGAGATTTCTGATCTGTTACAGACCCCACACATGAAGATAAAAAATCAGGCGTTGAACAGTTTTGATCGAACTCTAATCTCAACACACAACACTCAAAACGATTCTGTTCCCCAAAACAGGTTTACCAATAAAGGGCTCTATTTTCGTTCCTCGCCGGCGGCGTGGCATAAGCTCAGCGTAAGTCAGGTCCGCCACGCCAACAAGGTGTGCCCAAGAACATTTTGGTATTTTGGTGAGCGGTACAGCCTGGCGTAAGTATCCCCCCTCCCTAATTCAGCTCCTCCCAGAGGCGTAAGTCGGAGAGAGGGCGTGGAGTGGGTTTAACACAGCCGAGACCTGTTTCTGCAATCAGACAAGCTCCTCTCCTCACCTTTAAATCTGCCACCGGCGAGGCGTATTACAATTTTTGTGAAGTAGTCAAAGAGATCAAGAGATGGCTGAAGACAGCAATGCCACATGATGGCGACGGCGGGCACGAAAATAAAACCCAAAGTCAGTGATCACCTGCTGCTCTTGGGCATCATTTTTAAAACTACAGGAGGAAAAAAAAAGTTTCAGAGCAGAAATAAACGTCCGAACCTGGTTTGTTTTTGTACATAAAGATCGAGAGTTAAATTACACCTCTGCTGGAGTTCAGGAGTCACATGACAGGACCTTCGAAGCGCTGGTTCAGGTCTTTAACAAACTCAGACCTTTCCGCCAAGTCCGGCTCAGTGCCACCGGAGGCCTCTGTAAAGAGGGACTATAGCTACACGCTATTAATGTTAGCCACACTCCCCAACAAAACCGGGAACAAAAAGCTACACAACACCCGACTCATTCCTTTAACCAAAGTCACGCCAGCAAGGCTGCAGCGCCATAAATTAACGTCTGATTAAAAATGGCCGTCTCGCCCGCCAAATTGTCATCAAGTGGCACCATTGATACGGGCAACAAAACCGGGCACATCACCAATCAACCGTCTCAAAGAGGAGAGGAAGGAGCTAAAAACAACATTCTTCAGCGGGTCGGTCTCTCATGTGCTGGACGGGGAGGGGCGTTGAGGTTCTGGGGTATGTAAAGCGGGGTACACAGGACCCAACAAAGGGGGGAGAGAGAGAGAGAGAGAGAGAGAGAGGGAGAGAGAGGGAGAGAGAGGGAAGGGCCACCCTGACAGCCCTGCAGCAGGTTTTTTTTTTTAGGGGGTACGAGAAGGATGGAAGGCAGAGGCTCAGAGGGTGAGGGGGTGTGGGGGTGAGGGGGTGAGGGGGTGTGTTCCCCCTTCTTCAAAGCCTTTCCGCTGGTTCTGGGGCCCTGTGAGTGGGGGGTGCAGTGAAGGGGTGAGGGTGGGTGAGGGTAAAGGAGAGAAAGGGAGAATTAAGGAGCCCTCTCTTTGTCTGCTGGCATCAGGGGGGGTCGGTTAGACACTGAACGCCTCAGGAAGATTAACCAGCTCGGCCCGGTCGGAAACTGAGGAGGGGAAGGTGGACCGAGGGAGGTGGGGGGAGACCAGGACCCGGCTTTGTTTCTGCTCCACGATAGGATGCTGCTGCTGCAGGAGAGGAGGAGGAGAGATGGAGATTGATTGATCAGAACAGTGAGGTGGGGGGTGTGGGGGGGTCTAAGCCGGTCCTGAGACGGAGAAAAGGATCAGGGTTAGATTTTTGAAATATGGAGGAAACGCCGCGCCCGGGGTCTGAATGGTGGGAGTGAACGAGAGAGCGAGAACTGACAGAGAGGAAAAAGAGAGACGGGTAAGCCGGTGAGGAGGAGAGGAAGGAACGGGGGAGGAAACTGGGGAGGGGGGGGGGGGGGGTTTCCTCAATACGGATTAGTGCAGCTCGGAGAGGGTGAGAGGGAGGAGAGGGTGAGAAAGGAAAAGGAGGGAGGAGAGGATGAAAGTTAGAGAGGGAGGGAGAAAAGGAGGGAGAGAGGGAGGGAGGGTGAGAATGAAGAATCGCCATTCGCTTCACTCACTTCACTACACAGGAACAAAGCATGATGGGAGGTACTTGACATAACACTTTTCCAGGCCATGGTGGTGTGTGTGTGTGTGTGTGTGTGTGTGTGTGTGTGTGTGTGTGTGTGTGTGTGTGTGTCCACTAACTCCAATGGAAGCTTCATAAATCTGAGATTTAATCATTTCTGTATTTTTGTTCAAACGTTGATTTTACTCAAAACTTCTGAAGTTCTCGAAAACTAGACGGTGTTTTATTTTCAGAACCGACCAGAACCAGAGATGTAACCTCTAAAACGGCGAAGACGACCTCAGAACTGACCAGAATCAGAAACTAACGACCTTTTAGTAGACGTTCAGGATGAGGTGGAAATTGGGGGTTACTGTTAAAACCGTGAAGACGACCTCAGAACCGACAAGGATCAAATATTACAGATATTTAAAGCTGCTAATTTGGTGACAGATTATAAATGAGGATCCTTAAAAGTAAACTAGATGATCATCGGCGTAGAGACTGAACTTTTCAGATTTGTTATTTTGATGTCAAACTCTTAAACTGTAAATTCATTTAAAAAAACAGTTGTAGTTAATCGTCATGAACCATACACGTCACGAGGAGGCGTCAGTATAAAAAAATCTCCTGACTGCACCTTTAACCATAAAAACAGGTTCCTACAAACATGTGGGACGGTCCTTTTTGACTATAAACTGTGGTGTGGTCCTTCTTAAAGGGAGATTTTAGGTTCTTCAAACATCACTCAGAAAAATCAAATATCATACAATCCTGATCACAGGCACATTTCTGGACAGGTATGGTGTGTTATAACTTCACAAAGTGGTTTTATTTGATGCTGATATTTAAGTCCCCCATGGATAGACCTAATATCTATGAAAAAGCTCACTCTGTCGTCTCTAATCAGTAAAATTAACCTGTCTAAGAGTCTTTAAAGTCAGATGAAGTGATTTTCTCAGCCCTCTGTTCATCAGCTGATCTGCTGACAGCGTTTTTACACATTAAAAATGACGTTTTATTCACTCTAATCCATTTCTCTGTGATGTTACTGGATAAAACTCGACTCCCCGATGATTCTCAGAGATGAACTCTGAATTTCTCTCTAATCTTCTCCTCCATCTCTGAGATTCAAAGGTGTGTAACAGGTGAGCGGAGAGCAGCAGCCTGCGGCTAACGACCCGGGGCGGCGTCTCAGAACCTTCATTAAGGACTCATTAATTACAGGAACCATCAAGATTATCTCCACAGGTGAGGGCCCACCAGGGATACAGTCCCCCTTCAGAACTACAAATACTGGGTCTGGTCCAGGTGAGACTCCGGCTCAGGTCTTTAATCTGAGAGAGATCTTCTAAAAACATCAGTCAGCACGGACGCCGTCTGCTTCAGAGTCACCTCTACGGGAGAATACAGAGACACTGTGTGTGTGTGTGTGTGTGTGTGTGTGTGTGTGTGTGCTGTTATTAATGGTGAGCGCTCAGGTGTGTGACAGCCTCTCTCTATCCCAACAAACAAACAAAGAGGTGGTCGTATTATTTCGACATCACATCCTGTCAGAGGACGTCATTATTCTGCCACCGCCGTCTGAAAAACGCCATCAGTGAGCGGCGGCACCCTCCAGCCGCTGTCAACAACACGGGCAATTTAAGCCGCAGAGAGAGAGAGAGAGAGAGAGAGAGAGAGAGAGAGAGAGAGAGAGAGAGAGAAGGAGAGAGAGAGAGAGAGAGAGAGAGAGAGAGAGAGAGAGAGAGAGAGAGAGAGAGAGAGAGAGGGAGAGAGAGAGAGAGAGAGAGAGAGAGAGAGAGAGAGAGGAGCTATTTTCAGGCTTGAGTCGGGTTAACAGGCCTGTCTGAAATCTCTCTCTCTCTCTCTCTCTCTCTCTCTCTCTCTCTCTCTCTCTCTCTCTCCCTCTCCCTCTCCCTCTCTCTCTCCTCTCTCTCTCCACCCCCACCTCACCCCCATCCCCCCCGCTCATATTTATGCCGATGATGCGAGTTCATGTGAAGACGCCGAGAGCTTTGTTTGGGACCTGTCACACTGAAGGCAGAAGGTGGGGTGGGAGCAGAGAGGCATTGTGGGTGGATTAGACCAGAACCAAAGTGGACCCCTCTGTCTTTCTCACACACACACACACATGCTCCCCGCAGGTACAGTACCCGGCCCCCTCGCCTCCTTCTCAACCCTCCCCTCTGATCAATGGAGCTGAAACAAGGAGGCCAGGAGGGGCCTCTGGTTCCCACATCAGACCCCACTGTAGCTGGTCTCCTCCCACCCCCCAAATGGACCTTTACTGTACCCCAGACCTGGTCTCCGAGTCTGCAGGACCACAAGAAGCTACATGAGAACAGATCTGGACTGGGTCTGAGCGTCAGTGTGAGGGGCGGACAGTCCAGATACAGATCCATCAGAACCAGAGAGGTCCATCTATGAACGAGTTTACGGCACCAGAACTGTAACAGTACAGTTAAACAGTTGGGTCGAGCTCATATGGACTCAGAGTTCACCCGCTGACCCATGAACAGGAAGTTGAACAGAACAAATATGATGTTAGGAAGGATGAGAAAACCTCAACAAAGAAAAGACGACAAAGTTAACCGTCGTATCGAACAAAAATACGATAAGGTTTCTCTCCGTTAGCTTCAGGCAGCTGTTGGCTAGCGTCAGATTAAATGTTGATGATTTCAAGATGAAGAGAAATTCACTGTCTGTTCGCTTTAAAAACAGACATGTTCATGTATAACCCTATATTTCCACAGCGATTTTCGCCGTTCGCCAATTCTTACCAGATCCGTTTGTGAGGCGAATTTCACGACGGGAATCGTGAGAACTCACAAGAACTCGCAGATTCAAGACGTGTTAACTTGAATGGTTACGATCAGCTACGATCGGAGGATACGACCTTTTCATAGACGATCAGGATGAAGGTGGAGATCGGGGGTCAGACACCAAGAAAAGCAGACAAAGACAGTTTTGTTAATTATGAAGTAAAGTGAAAATGAAATTATATACAAGAGTCTTTTAACTCTTACACTAATCTCATATTTCCTTCTTTAGCTAACGACATAAATCTTAATCCCAGATCGTTGGATTAAACCCAACAGGCCGTCACTCAGATGTAAAGTAGGAGATACACAATAGGAGATACTGTAGTAACTCCACAAAAGGACTCATCAGTAACAGTCAGTGATTAAGCCTTCGGCAGGATGAGAAAAGCTCAATAGTCTTTGCACCTTCAGCCATTAAGAGGAGAAAGAGAGAAGACCTCTGAACTTTCTCCTCCAAACAAAAACACTCTCTCCCTTATCTCCTCTCTCTCTCTCTCTCTCTGTAAAGTCAGTGGTCCGACTCTCTCAAAGGAGCCCCGAGCCCCCGGCCCGCTCCTATTGGTCCCTCCTTGCTCTCCCACACTGAGTGCCCATGGCTCCTGAAGTGATGCTCTTTGTGTGGGGTTCAGGGGTCGTGCCTATTAGCGTGAAGAAAGCCCTGCTGGGTCTTATCCCGACCCGGAGGAGGACGCAGGGCTCTTCACCTCAACGTCGGCCCGGCCAGCCCCCTCCCCCGGTCGGGACACTTTCATCCTTTGTCAGAAGGTCAATGAGCGAACCTCCAGAGGGGAAGGAGGGCCCCCCCCTCAATAATGATATGCATGACAGTCATTGTATGACCCTCATAGGGGGGTCATGGTTGGTTGAGGTGGGTGGGACAAGCAGTGGGAGGAGGACTGGACCTGAGGATGGTTATCTTATCCTGAAGTTACAGAATGATGGAGATGATGGAGGGGGGGTTCGGGGGTCTGCTGGTCTGTGACGGTTTGATGACGTGAAAATCGTGAAACGGCGATGACGGTTAACACGGGTTCGAGCTTTCACCCAGAAAAGGTCAAATATCAACAGTAATGTTCAACAGATTCAGCCAACTGTAGAGGCTCTCTGTGACCCCCCACAAACACACACACACACACACACACACACACGCGCGCGCACACACACTCATCTGAACCCCTAACCCCAGCCTTTCCTCAGGAGATGGATCTGATTTGGTCCGCTTCACTCCCCTCTAAATATTTCAGCTATTCGCCTTGATATGCAAATGAGACGTTACATAACAACATCATCATCATCAGGAGAGGCCCCGGGTTCGACACACGGACACGTCTCTAACTGCACTTTAAATACCTGAGAGAAACACACGTCGATACAGACACGACATCTGAATCCTAAAGTTTATTTTAATGACATTTTAAAAGTCTTTTCTTATTCAGTTTCACTTTACTGACCAGGGTCCTGCAGACTTACTGTTTTCTATTTTATAAACCAGAAACTTTCAAAATGTTGAGATTTCTAAGACGGATATTTTTAAGTGATGAGTCTGATTAAAAATAAAAAAACTAAAATCACAGAGTTTTTCTTGAGATACTTGAGAAAGTTCAACATAATTCTTGTTTTTTGGACGGAGGCCTTCGTGTCCAAAATCCCTCTAAATGATACGGAAATTAAAGCTTTTTAGTTACTTTTAGTGACTAAAATAAATACTAAATAATATAATATAATACAATAGTACATAATAGTATATAATATAATACTACTAAATACTAACTCCTCTTTATGACCTTTGAAAAGAGACAGAAACACAAACAATACCTCAAACAGACATTACTTCACATGTACGGGACAAACCCAGCAAAGAGATAGATGTACCTCTTTGTCCACAGGGGGCGCCAAAATCCACAAACCAAAAAATCACCCATAGAAGCTTTAAAATACTGAGAAACAGACATGCAAGATTCGATACTGGTCAGTATTCACACAACCGTCTGCTGTCAATCACATGATGCTAACCATGCCGGGTCATGATGCATCAATCAGCGCAGGAATTTCTACCGCATCCCTAACGTCTCCTAAAAGGTCGTATCCTCCGATCGTAGCTGATCGTAACCATTCAAGTTAACGTGTCAATTTACACCGACTTCTTTCCGTTCCTCTGCGGATCGCCGGACTCCTCAGCTGATCACAAGAGTTCTATTTTTTCAGACATCGAAATTTGTGGTCAGAACATCCAGTTTCCTTTCAAAATAAAACACTCCATGTGGACTTCACACGTTGGCCTGTTAAAGCTGCAGTAATCCATTTTTCCAGGTTACAGCAGATACTCTGGACAGGAAGTCGTACGATATGTCACCAACGGGACCCCCTGATAATAACCATCGCTTTTCTAAAAGGATTTGATTACTGGGTTCGACTAATGGAAGAGAGAAGGGAAATGAAATGTGGAAGTGGAAGATCTCCAATATGACTCCACGGCTTCTTCACTATCAGACACGATCAGGAGAAAAGAGAGACGATCCTCAGAGTGTGTGGGAGGGGTCAGAGAAGTGTGATACATACGGCGTGGAGTGAAATATACATAAGGCTTCAGCATCAATATGTCTGGGTGGAATGCAGAGTGGCAACAGCTGCACAAAGGAAGTGGGGATAACTGTGAGGAGGAGGTGGAGGAGGAGGAGGAGGAGGAGGTGAGGAGGAGGTATCATCGAACAGACGAAGACAGAGGAAATAAATCAATGTGAGCGCTGAAGGATTCCTGAGGCTGGTCGGTGTGCGAGCGCCGGTCTGTCTTATTGATTCAGGAATATGTCATCACATCATGTTCAGAAGCTGTTTAGCAGCTATCAGACCCAGACAGAGCTCATCTATTATTAATGTTCTGATCCGGTTCATTAAACATGGAGAGACTCCAGAACACAGGAGGTGAACCTCAGCGCCGACCGCAGGAGGACTTCACCTCCTCCTCCAACAACGACTGAGAGAAACAGAGGAGAGCAGAGGTCTGAGTCTGCTGCAGATTTAAGATAAAAACACAGATTTAGATTTTTATAACTGAGTCATCAGGACAAAAGGAGGATGTCAGTGATGAAGGAGCTGGACGGAGAGGACCTGACAGAAAACCTAACCTAATCAGACTGGATTAAATAAATTAAACTGAAACTAAAATTAAAGATTAAAAAGATTTTTACATGTAAAGACAGGATCAGAATTCCTCTGTCAGTTTCCGATCACACTCATGGACCTGAACCTCGGTCTCCGGTCAGATGAGGAGACGTCACTCTGACTTTAATAATCCAGACTTCTCATGTTTTAATACCAGACTATTGATTCAGTCTGCTCACAGAAATAACAGCGGCGTGTAAGAGGAGCGGCGAGGAAGAGGATGAGGTCACCCACCTCCTCCTCCTCCTCCTCCTCTGTTCAACCTTTTCTTCACAAACTGGATCACATCCTAGTCCTGATCATCTGTAGAGTCCTTCCACCAAACACAATCAGAACCTCCTCAAACAATTTAACTCTGCATTAGAACTACACAGACGACAAGCCCT